CCTGTGTTACAATCTAAGGGATAGATTTACTAATATATATTTTATACAAGAATCTGCTTGAATAAATATTAATCATTGATATGATCAGCTAAAATAAAAAATAAAATAAAATAAAATAAAATATATAAAATATATAAAAATTAATAAACTTAATAATAAGTATACTATTTAAATAAACAACTAAAAATTGTATATATAGCTAGTTATACTTTTTAAATATATATATAGTATAAAAATATACTATAAAGTTAAAACTATAATCAAATAAAAAAAGATAATCAAGAGGTTATTTTAATATCAAAAAAAAATAATAAATATATAAAGGCAATATTATTTGAGTGCGTGAGAGTGAAAACTTGGAAACCGATCATAGTAAATCATTAAATCGGTTTCCAGGTTTTCACTCTCATGCATTCATTTATTATCTGTTTTTTTTATCAGAAGCTTACTTCTTTTCCCTTCTCTTATTATATATTTTGATTAAGTTTTTATATATAATTTTAAATTTTTACTCTCTTACCCTAAAAAATTACTTGATTTTTGTCATGTCCTTAAATAAAGTTAAACTAGTGATATCTATATAGTAATTAAATAATAATACAAAAACTTATCATAGCAAAAAGTATATAGTATTAAAGAATAAACTAATATTATATATAGTATTAATCATATAAGACTATAAGTAAGATCTGGAATATATAAATCAGTAATCATAGTAAAAACTTAGCTTAAAATATAGATTAGTAGTATTTAAAAAAATGAATAAGAGAATTTACCCAATAGTATAATATAAACTTTCTTATATAAAAATCTAGCTAGATAGCAGATACCTGATTTAAGATATATATTATCAAGTATATCTAGTTAGAAATAGCTACAAATACTATTATAAAAAATAATAGTTAAAATATTACCAAATATATATAACAGATATACCAAATTAAAAACTATAATACAATAACAATTTTTTATAATAGAAGAACTAATTTAGAAGTTGTTAATAAGACTAGTGAGATACTGTATAAAAAATATATAGTGAAAATAACTAAATAAAACTAGTTAAAAAGTAAAATCTAAATATATATAAATAGAATATATTAGCTTTAGTAAATATAAAATATAAATAAAATAGTCTAAGCTCTATATTAATATAGATCTAAAATAAGTTTTGAATCCTAAAGAAGATCACAAGTATTACTAGACAGGTCATATCTAAATATAATATAGCAGTTTAATAATTCACCCTAACTGCAAGTAGAAGCTATAGTAACTGCAAGATAAACTAGATGTTTTACTTTTGGTTAAGATATTACAAACTGTAATTAAAACATAATCTATATAATAGTTTAGTTTCTCTTTAAATAAAAATAAACAGGATTTGCCAAAAAAAAAAAACACTTTAAAGAATTATACCAATATCATTTGTTTTTTAAATAAAAAATATTTCTAAACTAATTTTAGATTAGTTAAATTTAAAAATTTTTTTTTAAAAAATGTTAATTTTATTTATTTTTTTTTTTTTAGCATCTATATAATAAATATAATTTAGCCAATTATATTTATAAACTAGAGACGGTAAGTTATTATATATTTCGGGTAATCGTATAGTAACAATTTCTACCCGGGTTCAATCCCTAGAAATAAATTCATGATTCAAATAACTTAAAATAGAAAATAATTAAAATAATATATATACGTATACATAACACTGTATATAAAGCTATTTGATTGGATTGACTGGAACAATTCGAAATCATCAATTAACCCAATATCAATATAGTCAAAAAAACTATATTGTATTCATTGAACTCCATTGCCAAAATTGATGGCTTTTTTTTTAATATATTGTTTCTATATCGATACTATATATATTACATCATATAGATGTGAATATCACGCAATAAAATCATCATAGGCTGGTACGTACATACGTACGTAATTTAACTGTTAAATGCATTTGACTACGTACGTAACATCAAAATTTTTTAAATTTTTGTTAATATACAGGGTCTTAGATTTTTATACGTACAATAAACGATTACTTTTGCATATGATAATTACACACCGAAAATTTTTTTTACCTAGTTGCTGTCTACGTATATACGTATGTATTGTCAAGAGTAATAAATGGTTTAAGGGATCCTTCTGTACCAAACGTATAAATCAACAAAGATAGACACTTTTGGGCAAAGATTTTGCCTCTAACTTTATTAATTAAAATTAAATTTGTTATTTGTTTGCGCAATTTAGGTATTTACATTATTGGTCGATCAAATAGTCCAAAAGTATTTACACGTGAGACCTTTTTTTTTTATTTATTTATTTATTTTTAGACTTTCATTTTGTTAACAAATTCGTCAATAATTTGTTTGTCGATTAGAAATTATATTAAGAAAGCATCCCGAAATTTTCAGGTTTTACCTCAAAATGCCGAACGTAACATCTTCGAATTCTCAAGTTGAAACAAGTAGTAATTCACTGCCTTCAACCAAGTCCAAAAAGAACAAGAGGAAATCTTTAGCGGTTACTACTTCAAAAGATGTTTCTCCGTCACGTCAAGAGCCACATTCCCCTAATACGCTGGCTCCTGATACTGCGGACGTTAGTCTTGAGAACGGTAACAAAAATCCGTACATTGAAGTTATTAATAAAAGGATCAGGACTTTGAGGAAAAAGATGGTGTGTGTTTTATATTTAGCCCACTTGAATTGTTTAGTAGAGAATTCTTCTATAGGATACATAAATACGATAATGAATGAATCGTTTTTTTTTTGAGAATTAATTTATCATTT